CCATGCTCACCGACACACTCAGGAAGAAGAAAACAGACCCATAGCTGGAGAGAGCATTTTTGTGATTTGTGATGGCAGGGGACAGTGGCAGAGAATGAAAACTATCTTTCTTCTAATTTAGAGTCGATTGCAGTAAGAACTCTATCTTCCAAAAAGAGAAATACAGTAAATATTTAAAAGGTTATTTTGCCTGAAAGTATTTAAAGTTGTTTTTTTTTTTTTTTTTTTTGCAAGAAGGATGAGAACGAAAAACTCACAAGCAGATATGGATCACGTGCCAGCCTGTTAACAACCCCCCTGCAGCCAAACGGGAGAAACTCGAAGCTTCCGTATGCCAGACCAAACAGCTGGTCTCCCCAAGGAAGTGGGTTAGCAAGAGGCTGGCAGCCCACAACCCACTGCAGAAAAGCTCTCCTCAGAGCCTCCTACTTTTCGTATTCTGTTAAAATAGCTACCAGAGGGGAGGACATACGGATGGGGTGCAGCCTGGAGCCAGATGGTGAGGGGTGAGGAAGACAAGACTCCCAGCTCCCAGCACTAAAACTGAATGGCCTCTGGACAGCTTAGAGCGCCAACACAGGAAGATACTTGTGCCACCCGGGTTTAGTCCTCCCACATCATGTTATGGAGGATGGTTGTTCTGATCTCTACAACACTCAAAACAAGCACTTTTAATTTTTCACAAAACACTGGGATGGATAATCCATGCATTGAGTCAGCGCCCCTCCTTGAGAAGAAATGTTTGCTCTCTGATTAGATACTCTAAACAGGAACATGCTGGTCCTGGGTTCCAGCCGGATCAGGGTTTAGGATGAGCAGAGAGGGGCACATCTTGTTTTGACTTTAACTGTATCAAGGAATTTTACTAACTGTTACTCTAAAACTTGGCTTTTCAGGGCGACCACTCCTTCAGGGGACCTTGTCCAAGTCATGTTTTTCCCCACAGAACTTGTCTAGGAGAGAAAGGGATAAGCAAACGCAAAGGAAAACTGTGGCTCAAATAGACATTCTCATCTCAAACGCTTCAGCTTCTTAGAGGACAGTCCTCCACTCTCTCCACGGTTCTTGGTCTTCTATCAGTTAATATACCCAATCCCTCCCCTCTTGAATCATTTAAATAGGAGGCAAATCTGAAACTTTCATACACAAAGATGACCTCCAGATCCTCTTTCTCCACTTCCTTCTCATGCCTGTGGCCAAGGTCAAGAGAGAAGGATGCTCAAAGTAACATATGAACATGACCCATCAAAGGACCTGCTACATCTGAAAATGAAGGTTATTGAGAGAAAGGCAAGGAAAGTGGGGATTAAGCCACACTGTCCACTATTGTGAGGGGCCTCACTTCCCCCAAGTCCAACACTCTGATTAGGATCCAACTGCCGAGCAACTTTAGAGCTGTGCACTCCAACTTCACGTACAGAAAACTCTGAACCCGCAGCAACCACAGGCCTACGGGGGAGGCGCTTCAGCTTCCAGAACAACGCTTTTCAATTTAAAAAAGCTAACTCCTGTAGGTGTTCATGGGTGCTTTGGGGCAATGAAAATCCCATCAACAAGCAGTTAGAACTCAGTGGCTTTTCTGAGGCCAGAAACATCAGGCAGGATTTGCAGTTGCGAAAGGATGTTCACTCAGATCCAGCCCCCTTCCAAAGAACCCATAGTCTTACACACAGAACTCTCCGCCGCAGCGTAAGGTAAAACTCGTGGCTGTCACTTTTGCCTTGCAACCCAAACCCTTGTGAGATAGCTCTGTCTACATTTATCCAAGCCATGATAGGGCATTACACGGGACAGCCAAGGCCAAGTGTGATCAGCGATAATCACAGATACCGTGTAAACCTGTGTAGCCTTTTTCATTTGAATCTAAGTCAACTAAGCCACTGGTTTTCAGATGGAGGGTGGGGTTGTACTGTAGCTCATATTACATCAGAAGTCATGGTCCCTGAAGGACTAAGTGGCCTGTTCTATCTGATTCAGTGAACTTCATTCTCAAATGTAACAACACAGACAAAATGCTAGTTGCATAATGGATTCTTTCCCAATTATATTCTAGCTAAAAGCAAGGCAGATGGCCTATGGAGCTTAATAAAAAATACAGACCTATTTCCGCCTAGTGTGTTGTTTCACTGATATCCTTAGTATGGTTTTCTAGAATCAGGTTGTAGATTAAGGTATTTTTTTGCCCTGTGTAAGAACTATGTCCATCCATTTTTATAAAAAAAAAATTAGAAGCTGTGCTGCCTAGCTCCATGACAATAGCCTTCATTATCATCCTTCAAGGCACTCTTTCCGTTTTTGAGGACATAGTATCTTGTTCGCATTGCTGGCATAATGGGTCCGCAGACTTTGAGGTTTCAAAATTATTGGGGGTCAGTTTGTCACAGCTCCTCCAGTTTCTGTCGTCTACAGACAGTTGATGGTCTCCCAGAGTTGGCTTAAGGTTGAACTTAGCCAGTTTGTATCTTTGACCAAGAACGATCTCAAGCACGCCGTGGTGAAGAACGAGATAGTTCAAGCACTTGACACTTCAAAGACGGACAGAGCGAGGGTGACAGACCCCTGGTGACATCAGTGGACCACGGCAGGGTTTTTAAAACTTCAAGCAAAAAGCTGATGGCTCCATGACATAGCCAACCCTGACTACTAGAAGGAACAAGAAATAAAGACCCAGTGGGCTGATCAGGGAGATTTTCTCATAGTTATTCAATTAGCATTTTGATTTTCTATTTTCTGAAAAGATAGACTTCCTATGTCAATTTTACCGACCTTTAACACCCTAACAATATAGCACACAGTGTTTATATGAACCGATAAGAAACATTTAAAAATGATGCCTCAGACTCTGACCCTCTGCCCCCAGCCCATGCCCAACCCTGCCCACATTCATCAGTTCACGCCACATAAATAATTTTTCACCACAATGGGCCTATCTGTATATGTTCAATAATAAACTGTCTTCCCTTAACCAGGATGTATGACTGGGAAAAATCTATTATGCAACCAACACCCTGCCTGCAATGTTGTATCAGCGAATGAAGCTCGGTGAAAGAGAACAGGGCATTTAACTTCTCCTGGGAAGCCTACCTTCCAACCAGGACTGCAGTGCAGCCTTCTGAGGAGAGCCTCTGTTGGCTCATCCACTCCTGTAACCTTCCTTATAATCAGCCACAGGCCGGGAATTACATGGCCCATTGCCACCTCATTACAAGTGATGACAGTGACTTTTCTTTGAGGCCACACTAGAGAACAGCAAGAAGGAAGGCATGGAGGAGGAGTGGCTTGGCCAACATGAAGCCTCAAGGGTGACCCAAGAAGATGTCAGATCAGATGGCCCCCTCCTCCCCACTCCATCCCTTCCCCACCCCATCACCTAGGACTAGTCAGTTCAAAATCTGCATCCCCAGCTCAGCCTTCTTCACAGGGAGATGCTGCCATGGATTTAGAACCTCGAGCCTGTCAGAAACGAGGGCTATTTCATGTGCCTGCCTCTCTCCACAAGGAAAGTCTGAGCTTAGGGGAATAATCTCTCAGCTTCGCAATGCAACAGGTATTTGCACCTCACAGGAAAACAAAGGGCCTAACCAGAGGTCACAACGCCCGACAGTCTAAAACTGCAAAGGCACAAGAAACCAAGTCAAGTAAGCTACCCAGCCAAGGCTGTTCTAACAGAAGATGACCCCATATCAGTTTGCAAACTGGACCCGACAGCAAGATGTAATTAACCCAGCACACCTTGAGCCTCCTGCTTTACTTTTCAGGTGACAAAGTGATAGCAAACCCAACTAACACAGAACGACCATGTTCCAAAGGTTATGTTTACCATATCCCAAATGCAACTCTGGAGTCAGAAAGGGACTTCCTAGTAGGATTGTGAAAGGTCACACTTATTTAGTATCTTCTAAGGACATAATTTATCGGGGACTTTTTGATTAGAGGATTATTTTCTTTACTGTATTTCTAGAGAAAAAGAAAAAAAGTTAAGCTTTTAAAATACCAACCGAGAGTGGTGGTGACCTGTCTGTCATCCAGCACTCGGGGGGCTGAGGTGGGAAGGTAGTGAGTTTGAGGCTAGCCCGAGCTACATAGGAAACGTGTCTCCAAAAGAAAAAACACATTTATAGGCATATAAACTTATTAGCAAGTACTAGGAAAGATGCTTTATTCATTCATCACCCATCTTAATAGTTATTGACTTTAGAAAACCAAATACTACATCCAAATACAACACAACATAACGTGCATAGCTGTGCATCCAAAGCCACTCTGTTTTAGCCGAAGGAGAAAAGCTTGAGATCAAACTGAGGTTCCTAATTTTCGTGAATGGACCCCAAGTCTGCACAAAGGCTACATCATCTTGCATGAACGCCAAGCCCTCTCCAAAGAACATAAGGCAACTTTCAATAAAAATCTCATGCTTAATAACGCCAGTTTGGGGCTGGGTGGTGGTGGCGCACGCCTTTCATCCCAGTAGGCGAGAATCAGAGGCAGGCGGATCTCTGTGAGGTCAAGACCAGCCTCGTCTACAGAGTGAGCTCCAGGACAGGATCCAAATCAAAAGCTACACAGAGAAACCCTGTCTTGAAAAAATCATAAAAAAATAAAAATAAAAAACAAAAAAAGCAAGCAGTTTGGGGCTGGGCGGTAATAGTGCACACCTTTAATCCCAGTACTCGGGAATCAGAGGCAGGCGGACCTCTGTGAGTTCCAGACCAGCCAGAGCTAGTTCCAGTACAGCTAGGAATGTTACACAGAGAAATCTTGTCTCGAAAAACAAAACAACCCCAACAAAATGCCAGTTTGGAGCTGGGGCAAGGGTCGGAGGAAGTTCAGTTAGTAGGATGCTTGCCTAGCATACATGAAGTCCTGGGTTTGACCCCTAGGTCAAATGTCACCATATCTCAGGACACATACACGCTGGTTGAAGGTACAGCAAGGAGCCCACTCTGCTCATCGAACCCGGGAGGCCTTCCCACAACCAAGACCCGATAGTGGAGTCGTACCTGGCTTTCTCCGTGGTTCCGGCCACTCTCAGCTCTGAGGATAGACTTGGGTTTCCGGGACTTGAAGTTACCCATGCTGGGTCTCAACACTCCATCCAGCAGCAGGGTCTGTTCCGCATGCTGGGCCTCGTGCAAGGGCGGAGCAAGCTCGTCTATTCGAGCCCCCACCTGTGGGTAGTTCTCTTTATTGTTTTCATCTCTGCAAGAAGAAAAGACCCAACTTAGAACAGACCCAACACAGGTAAACCTGTAATAAAAAGAGCTGATGAGATTCGCCACGCTGTAGTCAGAGGGAACCCAGGCAAGGGCAAATTTTATAAGCCTAAGAACTCAAGAAATGTGAATGTCATTCTCGTTTCTCTCTATTTTTAATTTTTAAGTTAGGGTCTCCTGTATCTCAGACTGGCCTTGAACTCACTATTATTCAAAGGTGACCTTGAACTTTGTATCCTATCTTCCCTCCTGCACCCACCACAGGCTAGGGTTACAGATAGGTACTACCAGGCGTGATTTACACGGTACCAGGAATTGAACCCAGGGCCTCGGGCCAACTGAGTACAGCCCTATGCATCCTGTCACTCTCCCTTCCCGGGCATCTAAGTCTTCACTTGAAGACTCCCGGCTTTCTCTGTGTATCCTTCTTCCCTCCCACAATAACAACGTGAGACCTTCAGCCTAGGTACTTGAGATCCCAAATTTCCAGGTCAAGATTGGAAAGTGCTATGGTTCTAAGTAGCCCACCTAGCAGGCAGACCAACTCAAACACTCCCAGAATCATCGGACAGATCTCAGTCTCTGGGACCCAGTTCTTGGTTCCAGCCATGATGCTTCCTAGCCATTGGCAAAGAGAGTTTGCAACATGGCTCCGTTTGGAGAGGAGGCAAGCCATCCAGATGAGTTTTAAGTCCAGTGATGCGTTTTCCCTAGCCGGGCCTTTGAGCAATGCCTTGAATGCAACGTAGAACAAGATCCCAAATGTGGGGGTTCCCCCAGGGATGAGTTACTGCTGAGTGACACAGGCCTGCCATCCCAGCAACTTCAGAAGCTGAAGTCCATCCTGGGAATTTAGTGAGCTCTGTCTCCTAACAAAAAGCAAAAGAAAGGAAGAGGGAGCTAGGGATATGGCTTAGTGGTACGGTTAATGCCTTGCCTAGTCAAGGTCCTAGGTTCAATTCCCAGTCTCACACTCACACACCCTACTCAGTTCTGGCAGGGATGGCCCAAGTTCCATATAACATGCCCAAAGGCTAATGTTCTCCCCTGAAACCATCTGCCCCGCTTAAATCTCTAGGCATTTTACTTTCCATAGAGCTAGCAAATAGGCAATCGTAGCCATAACGAAATGAGGGTATGAACTGGATTCTTTGCCGGAGACTCTAAGGTTTGCATGGTCAATATCACCAACCTTACTCTCTGGCAATTCACCAGAAGCAGCTACTTCCTGGGCATTTTTGCCCCCTGCACCCAAGAAAGCACTGTGGTAAGGGTACAATAGGAAGCAACAGTCCCCAGCTGCTCAGACACATAAAGCCAGAGAGGGAAGTCCAGGGAGGGAAGGTCCCCCACCAGACCCCACCACGCAACACACCTTCCTGCAGATGATGACTGAACTCACTAAGCTGTTGAGAAGGTGGGGGTAGAGGTGAGCAGAAGCCACCAGGATTGGTGATCTGCCAGTTGAGTCTCAGGTGGTATATCCAACAAAAAGTAAGTGTAAGAAGCTGGGGGGCGGGAGACAGTGCTGGTGACCCAGCTGTTAACAATCACACTTTTTTACATGTCACCAATGGCTTTAGACATTAGAGGCAAGCCAGGGCTGGGAACTTAGCCCATTCCAATGAATTCTACAGCCTGTAGCAGAGTGAAATGGGGCGGTATGCATCTACTCAAGTGCCTGCCTGGGAAAGGAAGCCACAGCATCCTTTCCAGTAGCATTTGTTCCTCATCCAGATCAAAATCCAGAACCCTCCATAACGGGGTCCAAGACAGTCAATACATGTTTAGTTACTAGGGATGAGGGCGCATTGTCAAATGTAAGGGATACGTTTTCTGTTCAAGGGTCTGGAACTCACACCACAATACTCGGCTCAGAAGCACACTTCGAAGAAAAGATGTTTGGGTTCCGAAAAGAGACTCCAGACCCAGAGGGTCACTTGTTGTCACAAATCAGAACGAAGGGCGGGTCATACCTGAGCCCAGAGCAGTCGTCCTCGTCTTCATGTAAAGAGACCGTGCCGTCCTCACACCTGAGACGACAAGGGAGAACAGCGCGTCAGACACAAAGGTCTACCACGGTAGACGCGGCAGTAATCTAGAGTCGTGTCAAGATTAGCATGGAAAATCACGTAACACGGTGATCCTCACCACTGTCTCCCCGAAGGACACAGAACCACAAACACCCGGCTCCGGTTTCTGATGTCTGCCAGGCCACGATACAACACCAATGTGCCCGCCAAAGCATGTGAGCTGAAAACGTCAAATCAGCTTTGACTTTTCACCTCCACGGCGCGACTTAGACGTCATCTAAATCAGTGCTTCTCAATCTTCCTACTGCTACGACCCTTTAACACAGCTCCTTATGTCCTGGTGACCCCCAACCATCAAAATTAGTTGCTTGCTACTTTGTAACTAATTTTGCTACTGTTACGGATTGTAGGGTAAACATGTGATATGCAGATGGCCTTAGGTAACCCCTGTGAAAGGGTGGTTGAGAACCACTGGTCTAAGGAGCTGTGAGAGCTCACTAATACCAAGATGCTCCCAGAAGGACGTCAGACACCAAGAGGACTGCTCTCAAGAGCGATCCCACAATCCTCTGCATCAGGCACTCTGTCCTGTGCCCCATGCCACAACAGCAACCACTGGCCTTGGACTTTCTCTTTTTCACAAGACTTCCTAACTAACCTGATGAAAAAGACTTGGCTCTTCCACATTAAAAAGAAAAAAAAAATCCCTAGTGTTCCCTACTCCCCAAGGGGACCTACAGTAAGAGTGTTGTTGTCCCTAAGTAAGAGGGAGTCTCTGTTCCACTTCCCAGCCATTCATCCTGTCTCGCCCAGCCCCACCCTGGAACATTTTCCCATCTTCCATTCCCATCCACCCCGCACTGACAAAAGCAGGAGGTACCAGTACTGAACAGGAACCTTCCCAGCCAGATACACACACACACCATTATAACGATGTTCATTTTAATGCATAAATGTTTACTCTTCCTCCTTTGGTTCTGGTGTATTTTGTGCATCTGAGACCCTTTGAATTGGTTTCTTATTGCAGGCAACAGCTATAGCCGTAACTATACTCAGAGAAACACTGACAGTTCTTCTTCTAGGGACACCACCATGGCTCCCAAGTGCAGCATTGTGGATGACTCTGCTCCCCCGGCAGAATAACCGAGGAGTTTAAACAACGGAACTAACGGCTATTAATTAACATGGACTGCTTCCCAGGTGCTCAATTCACCTTCTGTGATGGCTAACTGTAATCGCCAACTTGACGGAAGTTTCTAGAGTAGGTTAATTGATGTGAAAAGACCCAGCCTGACTGTGGGCAGCACCATTGCAGGAGCTAGAGACCGAGACCGAGAGAAAGTGAACTGAGGACCAACATCCATCTCTTCCCGCTTCCAGACAAGATGCGATGTGATCCGCTTCCTCAAGCTCCCGTCTGGCGCCTTACCCACTACGATGGACCGTCCCTCAGATTCTGAGCCAAAATCAACCCTTTGTTAAGTGGTTTTCGGTCGAGGTGTTCATGCCACAGCAGTGAGAAAAGTTGGACCAATGTGTCTTACATTTTCTAAGGTTAAGAACAGACCGCTGTGCTTTATTTTAATGTCCAGTTCACTGAGGTAAACAAGTGATAGCAACGTCAAATTTCTATTGAAGTTATCATGTGCTGGCTCCCTTCTTCCCTACTTCTGTTCTTGATGCAGACACGTTTGATATATCTATACTCAATGTAACATTTTTTTCTAAAGGATACAAGGTTTTCAAAGGATCTGGATCCTGTTCCGAGACATTCAATGTAGTTGAGTAGGCGAAAATAAAACAAATAAATACATAAGCACAAATATAATACAGTGCTTATGCTCCATTAAATAACATATTTAAATATTCATCACTGGAAACGCTGTATAATTAGTAGAGAAATTAACTGAAGAAAGCTCCTGTTCTCTTCTCTTACAGCCTCTTTTTAAATCATGGCTTTTGTAGTGAATTATACAAAGGCCACCTACAGACTTGAGCCCTCTTTATCTAAGAGAATATTCCATTCCCTGTGGCAATAAAATAAAGTTGGTCGAGTTAACAAAATGCTCATTTTAATGGAATAATCTAAGCTTCTTGGCTCTCTTCTGTTTTTGACTACCAATAGCTCTACTCTATTTATCTCATGAGAAATAGCAACTCAGTTCCCAAGTTTTACACGCGGTCCCATCATCAGTATCCAAAGGTAGTTCACGGAGGCTTTGCAATGTGAATGACAATGTTTTCCGAGAGTGAAAGAGAGAAAGTCTCACAATGTAGAAACCTAGACTTCTCACCTCTAAGAATTCCAGCCCCCCGTCCCAGCCCCCGAGTTCAGCCATGCTGCCTGAGGACTTGGAAGTTTCTCCTCTGGAAATGATCGTTTCCCCCTCTAATCACGATGGCCCAAGGATGGAAATTTAGCACCAGAGCAGGTGACTTCTGGGCCATCAGGCTGGACCAAATTAGTAGAGCAGAAATATGTCCTAAACAACCGCCAATTGCTGCTCAGGACACACAAGTTCAAGACCATAGGTCCAGCGGTGGAAATTGATGTCCTCACCGGCCTTGGAGTTCATCCCTGCTCCTTGAGCGAGGCAGAGTTCTCCATTGCTTTACTAGGCACCATCACCCCCCCCCAATCAGCATCTCATTTTTGTCTTTGCCCAGGAGGGTCCTATAAAGGGACAATGCCGGCCTGGTTATGAAACTGGATTCTGCTACAGGAAGCCACAATCATGGCTCCCCATTTCTGGAAGACCATTAACTCAGACTAAGTGACCAACTGACCCAGGCACAGTGTTCTCTGACAATACTGTTATACCATATGGAGAGTTTAAAGGCCAATCCTTTTTATGATCTCCCTCTTAGGTCCTCAAAACAAAAATATTATATTAATCAAGGTAACCTAGGCTCAGAAAAACAAACATTACATAGGTAGATCCTGGCTTCTAAGTTTTATATATGTGTATTTATGCAGGAGAGAGTAGGGCTGAGGTTGGGAAACTAGAAAAAGTCCATAACGGGGGAAAAGAACAGAACACGTGATGTGGACATGGAAAGGGGAGGGGCAGAGAAATGAGGGGAGGGGTGGGGAACAACCCACTAAAGTTAATACTACAAGCAAACCTGTTACTTTAGATACTAACTGAAAAATGGACTCAAAAAGAGAGAAATAGTCCATCAGGATGGTGTATTCAGAAATAGCTGTTTGGAAACATGGTATGTTGTATATATATTTTAACAAGTGTGAATTCAATGAGAGGACATTTCAAGTCTTGCAATAACGTAGCAATGTCCTGATGGTCTTGCGATTGGGCCCTGTCACAGCGAGGGGATCTCCGCTACCAAGTGGCTAACCACTCACATTTTACGGCCAGTGTGCTTTAGACAAAATAGAAAATGTCAGCCCTGACAAGGCTCACGGCTGCTTTCTGGAAGTCGCTGAAGTCACACGTCTATGTGTGACTGAACTGTGAGGGAGAATGTTTTCCTTCTGGTTGGCCATGGTGAAAAGGAAAGAATGTTAAAGACATTTCCAACAAGTGACTTCCGGGTCGCTCTCCTCGGCAGTCAGAGTGCATCTCTTGGGATGGCTCAGACATCTCCCCAACAACTCCAACTGTGGTCTCTCTTCTCCCTCTTTTGCTTTGCTCAGTCTGCCAAGCACAAACAAAAGGAAAGAGCACACAGTTCCCAGCCCACATGACGTCTGCACCTTCTCAGGCCAGCCTGACAGCTAAGAAAGAACGCAGTCCCAGGAGGCCAAGCTATTGCCAGGATTCCAAGGCTTTACTCCAGGGAACCTTGCTTGTCCCTGCCCCACATCACCAAGTCCACAGACAAAAGTCACATGACATTGTCAGTCTCTTTTCCCTGAGGCGCAGGAGACTAAAGAGCCAGACTTCTTGGAATAGTGGAAGCTAAAGACATATCCATGAGAAAGTTATCTTCTCTGGTTAAACAGGAAGAGAGGTCCCAACTTGATGGGCTGGCAGAGAGAAATGGTTTCTCTTCTCCCCCTGCAGCACCACAGCCCTGAAGGCAAAGTTGCAGAGATGCAACCCTTCAGGGCATTTCCCACAGTGTGGTCCCAGAACCTCCTGCATCAGTGCTCTCGGGAATACCTGACTGAGAAGAGCAGACTGCAGACTGGCCCTGCCTCTGCCCCACACAGCTCTCAGGGTAGAATGTCAACCTCTGGGGGCAGCTGCCTGCTGCGTTTTTTGTTTGTTTGGTTGGTTTGGTTTTTTTTATTGTTGTTGTTGGTTTTTTTTTTTTTTTTTTTTTTTTGAGATGTCTCTTATAATCCAGGCTGGTCTCAAACTTTGCTACTTAGCCAAAAATGACCTTGAACTTCTGATCCTCCTGCCTCTACCACCAACTGCTGGAGATTACAGGAGTTCACCACCATCACCATCCAGTTTTATTTGGTGGTTGGAATCAAACCCAGGGCTTTTTGTATGCCCTATACTGTAAACTTTATTTTTTATCTATTTTTATTTTATATGCTTTGGTCCTTTGAATATAATTGGCCCCCATAAACTCACAGGGAGTGGCCCTACCAGGAGGTATAGCTTTGGAGTAGGTGTGGCCTTGTTGGAGGAAATGCGTCACTGTGGAGGTGGGCTTTGAGGGCTCATATATGCTCAAGCCACACCGAGTGTCTCAGTTCTCTTCCTGTTTCCTGTGGACCAAAACATAGAGCTCTCAGCTCCTTCTCCAGCACCACGTCTGTCTGCACACCATCATGTCCCACCATGATGATAATGAACTAAACCTCTAAAACAGTAAGCCACCCCAATAAATGTTTTCCTTTATAAGAGCTGCTGTGGTCATGGTGTCTCTTCACAGCAATAGAAACCCAAACTAAGAAATGTGCATTGGGGTTTTGCCTGAATCTATGTCTGCATGAGGCTGTCAGAATCTCTAGAACTGGACAGATAGTTGTGAGCTGCCATGTGGATGCTGGGAATTGAACCTGGGTCCTCTGGAAGAGCAGCCGGTGCTGTTAACCTCTGAGCCATCTCCCCTGCCCCTTGTGATGTAAACTTTTAAACAGTACTGCCTAGTCACTTGACTAGTATGCTTCTAAAATATTTTCATCTAATGGTTTCTAAAACTCAAGCCAGCTCTGACCTGACTCCAATCCAAATACACATCTTAGGTCCTCTCTTAGCCCCAAGTCTATATTTTTCAGCAGAGTCAACCCCCTTCCCAGATAGTGGTGATCAGTTCATTTTGTAAACCAATACCTAGAGGCTACTAGGCAGAACTTTTGCAAGGAAGACACCAAACTACAGACTGTAACCCAGTAAGAGACTTTGAAAACAACCCTTCTTGAAAAGATGCTGCAGATGTGGCCAAACAGCTAAGGCCACTCAGATGTTAGGGGGGGGGGGAGGTCGTATATAAAACTGAGTTAAATCCACCCAGACCTACACAGGCATCGCAAGGCCTGAGAAAAAACAAGAAGAGGATAGTCTGCCCTTGAGTCCCAATTCCGCTCTCCTTTGACTCTCCCAAGACCTCCAGCTGGGCAAGCCTGGGCATGGGCCACTGAGCATTGTCTTAAGTTCAGGTATGAGGACCTTTCAAGTTTGAAACCACTTTAAAGTCCATCAGAGGGCTGTAGAGGTGGCTCACAGGTTAAGAGTACTGGCTGCTCTTCCAGAGGACCTGAGTTCAATTCCCAGCAACCGCATGGTGGCTCACAACTATCTGTAATGGAGATCTGGTGCCCTTTTCTGACATGTAGGCATACACGCCAGCAGCATATTGTATGAAAAATAAATAAACCTTTAAAAAAACATTCCATCAGAGTGGTGGTGCATACAAAGCCCCAGGGTTGGGGTGAATAGAGACAGAAGGATCCCCAGAGCTCATTAGTTGTCAGTCCTATCCATCCATGAACTCCAAGTGCAGTGAGAGATGAATTCCAATGAGATAAAAGGAAGACACAGGAAGTTAACCTCTGACCTACACAGGCACCCTCGTGTGTGTGTGTGTGTGTGTGTGTGTGTGTGTGTGTGTGTGTGGGTGCGTGCACCCACACACAAATGCACACATACAAACTGGCTGAATAGCATCCTTTCAGATTGGACTACCTGATAAAAACAATTCATAGGGAACACTAGAAACACTAATGACTATGTGGACACACCTTCCAAGACACAGGGTTTTTCACTTACATTTTAATAGGGCCCACTACCATAGACCTCAAGCCAAAAGAAAGGCTCTCAGTGGTATGGGGAGGAGGCAATGAGAAGGGTGGGGGCAGGAGGTAGAGGACATTTGCTCATCTCAGAAACATCAGAACATCCTCGGAGTACACCAACATCTCAACCAAACACTTCCAGGGCACCTGCTACGTCTGTGTCTTGGGATAGCACCCTCCTTCCTGCTGGCTAAGGGATCTAGTGTTCACAGATCCAAGGACAGATTCATATTATTGAGGGGAGAAGAAAAAAACAATGTTGCATTTGACAACCACTGGTTTAAGACGCCCTTCCTCTCTGCCCTGTCAGACCTGTGACGCTTTTGGTACCCTGTCAGTGCCTTCGATTCTTGTATTAGCCAGTCACCACTCACAGCCTTTTACAAAGAACCGCTGCCATCTCTCTAAAAGTAACAACGTGATCTTACGCAACCAGAACTCCTTGGGGAGTATCCAAGGATGAGACACGACAGTCTCCCCAGCATTTAACCACAACACACACACACACACACACACACACACACACACACACACCGCAACCCATATGAAATCTGGAACTAAATGTCTCCATCTTGAAGCGCCTGGGCCTGTGACTGGGGCTGACTCTAGCCACATCAGGCACCTGAGAATCAAGCCCAGAAAGCACACAGTGCTAGCAAGTCAAGCAGGGGCAAAGAGAGGTAGGTATCCGACTGCTTGAACCAGGAAACCCAGGCCTCATCTTCGGTCCACAGATATATCTCTCCTCTTCTCTCAGCCTTTTATAGAGGCAAAGTGGCAAAGCAATGTTGCTACCCCTGCCCCAGTGGGCAGGCCATACTGCATCTTGGAAAGTTTACCTGGTCTTCCTTTTAAAGAACCCCCACTTAGGGGAGTTCAAAGTGGGTCCCTATGACAATAGCAAACCAAACAGATGAGCAAAGGCAATTGGGAAAGAGGCCCCAGGGAGCACAGTGGAACCTAGGCCTTCCTCTCTAAGTCCCTGCAACAATGGTAGACTCCAAAACCCAGAGGATGCTCTATGCACTGTCCAGGTATCTCCCAAATAGCTCCCAAGTCAACTTGTGGCTTCTTTTTGAAACGCGCATGTTTTTAAGTAGCAGAATACACAACTTTGCACACGCCTTCTTGCAAAGCTTTTCCAGAGTGACTTTTAGCCAAAGATCCCCAAAGTAAACACGAATATCCCTATGATAAGACGGCTAGGTGGGATACATATAGTTTATACACCCAGCTATATGTAAATATCACATATAGTACCAGAAAAATATACTACCACATTAATTTCTGATATATATATAAATAGATAGATTATAGTCTCAAGAAAATAATAAGGAAGAGATGACCAGAATAAAAATGAAGCACTATAAATATCAAAACAAACAAACAAAAAACCTATGTGGGCTGGCCTTGAATAAAACACCACTCCCCACCCTCCAGTTTGTTGTTAGTTGCCCTAAGCATCAGGTAAGGCATTTCTCTAGTCATATTATTGAGGTCAGATGAGAAAAAAAAAATGACAAAAGGCATCTAGAAAAGTTTACCGCACCGTGTCTCAAAAATCTGTACACACGGAGGGATGGTAAGTTTCCCCTGTTTAAACGTGGTGGAATTACCCTCCAGTCCTCTCGCATCCATCTAGTTGGGGGTCAACGTACACCCCACGCATGCCATGAAAACTGACACGCATGTTGGCAAAACAAAACCAAGCTTCCTTTCTGACATGTCACATAGATTAAAAAAATAATAATAATAAAGCTAAGCTCCAAGATTGCATATTTTGGGACACAGAGTCTCCCCCAGTAATCAGTTAGGTTTAATACCTACCCCCCCCCCACACACACACACACCATACCCCCACATACAGCTGCTAAAATACTGGCTGCAACCTGTGAGAGGTTTGTGGGCCCCGCCAGCCTCGCAGTCCCAGGTTCCAGGAGACAATGCATCGCCTGGGAAGAGGGGCTGGGGACGGTGGGTACCTTCACCACAGTTGCTTCGGAAACAAGCATGCAAGTCGATTGTAATGGCAAGAATCACTTACTCAGTTACAGCGGCGCTGCCGAAGGAATTATCCTGAAGGCTGAAACAGAAACAAGAAAACATGAGCCAAGTCCGGCCGGGGAGCCGTCTCCCTAATTGCTCTCCCCGAGTTAGAGCACGCACACAAACATGGCATTGCCAGGCAAGTCTCAGGGCTTGCCCGGCACGCTCGCTCTACCTTGGGCTGCTGTCTGCACATGCTCCTGACGACACCCCCAGCAGGGGCCCAGCGGCACCGGCGAACCACAAAGCCCAGCAGCCCGCGAGGCTGCGGGGACGATGGGGCGGGGCGCGGCGGCGTGAAACCTGAGGTTGTAGCTGCAGGAACCTAGAGAGGCTCCGCGCAACCCCGGTAGCCAGCTAGGAGCTGCAAGGAGTCCAGGCGGCTTGAGCTTGCTACCTCAGCCTGGGCGGGCAAAACAGATACCTCCCCCACCCCCCCCAACATCCCGCACCGCGCCCCAGTGTATGCAATGCCCGCCTCCCATGGCTAGTTACCTCCCCAGCCCCCACCCCACCCGGAGGATGCAAACGCGCAAAGATGAATCCATCGCCCAGAAAAAAGCAAGGAGAGATCGAAAAGGAGAGAGGGAGATGGATGCTGAGTCTTTTTTTTTTTTTTTTTTTTTTTTTTTTTTTTTTTTTTTTTTTTTTTTTTTTTTTTTTTTTTTTTTTTTCCCCACTGTGTGGTGGTTTTTATTGCGTAGAACAAAAGACGCTCCAAAGGGCCGGCTGCATCCCCACAGGTTTGAATGCGCTCTGGTTATTTCATTTCGCTGGAGAAAGCGCTCTGCTCAGGACCACACAGCTGACAGCTGTAAATGAGTCTACGCAGGGCGAGTATCGAATGCTTTCCAGGCCTTAGCTGGTGCCTAGGACACCGTGCAAGAGGGGAAGGCGGGACTCTCATACCCCAGACACCTTGACAAAGGATGGAGTGCAGAACTCACAAACGCAGTTCCCTTGGATGAAGGCTGCTCCGTTGGGGGAAGGGAAGCCAGCCAGCCCCCACCCCCAACCCGCCTTATTCTTGCTTGAAGGATGTTTGTCCTGCCCCCTTCACGTCTCCTGCCATGTTGACCTTGACTTGAAATAAACGGACGACTGTGAAAGACAGGTCTCTGGATTTTGAAATAAGATTTCCCTGCCAGGAACAGATGAGCTGGTGGCCTAACTCTGTAACCAAACTGATGACTTACTTTATAACAACTGACCTCATTAAAAAGAAAATTCAACTAAATTTTAAAATGCCTCGAAAATTTGGAAAAAAGGAGGAGGAGGAGGAGGAGGAGGAGGAGGAGGAGGAGGAGGAGGAGGAGGAGGAGGAGGAGGAGGCTCGCCTTCCAGGGTCACACTGAGTCAAAGTTTAAAGGTCCACCCAAGGGCTAGTTAATGCCCCCCGGAGGGCCGACTTGTGTGGACTTGGTTGTGCCATTGCACAGAGCCTAGCCATAGCCCCCTGGCCTGTTAACAGGGACAGTCTTCTCTGTCCGACCAGATGCAAAGATAACCTCCTTGTCTGTCATTTCACCGCATGAAGGACATGAGTGAATTGTGCATCTAACCCAAAGAACCTCCTTTCTGAATGCCTGTAAAACGAATCAAGGAGCAGCTCCATTCATCTCTGATGTGTGCACACAATTTTTTTGGGTGTTTTTTTTTTAAGTTCCATTTTTAACCTTTCCTGTTTGTACTTGGGGGATAAAAATGAAAGTTTCAGAGAAAAACAACAACAACAAAAAGGTTTCCATTAAGTTTTTTTTTTCTTTTCTGCAGTTTTACTCTCTGATCTCCAAATATTTTTAGATTGGCCAAATAAAAGCTTAAAGTGGCCTTCGATATTAACTCTGCAGATTAAACAGATTCTGAAATATTGACTCCTTGTTTGTCGAGCTATACTACACACACATTCTTAATCATACCGGCTCACGGAACTAGGTTCTGTATGACACACTTCACCGTGTTTACGGGAACATGGAGTCTAACCACGGAGTTATCTTCCTGTGCACAGATCTGAAGACTTTCCGTTTCCCAAAGGCTCTTTAGCTTAGAGGGGTCCATTCTGGGTGGTCCAGGCGTGTACACAACTCCAGGGATCCATCTAAGACAGGAAAGAACAATGCTTGTAACTGAGAAACAGAACTTACTGTCCAAATGGTATGCACCCACTGAAAATAAGATGAAATAATATAGATGCACGCCATAAATCCAGATATTCAATAATGCCCAGAGGGAAGGGGAAAAAAATGAGTTCCCTGCAACCCGTGAGCAGAAAGGACCCAAAGTAGCTTTTAAGAACTACTCATACAGAAGAATGGCAACCGGCTGGCACAGTGTATTATGGCTGAAACCCCAGAATAAAAGCCTGCCATTTAGCGGTGTGCAAGAAACCACTTCAGGTTTTTACCACTCGTCCTATTCTTAAGTTGTTCTCATCTTAGATCCAATATTTGTTTTCGTAAGTGGTTTTCAAGTACCTTTTTAAACGAGATGTCCTATTCACCTTGGAATGCACAAAACTGGTGAAGAGAGAGCACAAAAGGCTGGTTCCGAGGCCCCAGGTTTATCGGAACAACAGGGCAAGTTCAAAGGGAGAAGAAAAAAACATAATTATCGCTGGGATCTCTAAGGAAACTCGAGGATTTCCCAGGGCAGAGACAGGGTCCAGACTTCCCTATGGCTTTATGTAACATGGTCAAAACACATTTTTGAAAGAGAGAGATAATAAATTAGTACGTTTTCAACTTTGAAACAGAATATAGGTAGGCAAAATGATGTGGACCCGTTGAGAATAAAAGGAGACAACACATGTACTCAGTTGGTTCGTTTCTCAAACTCATTAAAAGACCAGTGAAATAAATGCTCAGGTTTAGCACACCAGTTAATAGTATACCTACCAGAGGGTTCTGAGAAAACACTACCTGGCTTTGTTTAGTGAACTAATGAATGATGAACAAATGATACACAGACTTAACCCTGTGTCGGATGCAGTCCCAGTTAACCCGAAGCCTTCGGTATAAATATGCATAGGTGTATATAATGGATAAGACGTACAGCGTACAAGAGAATAAGGGGAAACAAAGAGGCTAGATTTGAGTATGGTTAACTCACCTGCACGTTAAAGTTCCAGTTCTCCATGTTTTCTAAAGGTGGACATACGAATTTCATACTTAGTCCCAATAGTTTCTTAATTACACTGTTTTCATTCCAATATACTGACCAGAGCAGTCATGCGGCACACGAGAAAGAAATCTACAAGGTCAAGATAAAGACAAACCACTGACTGGTAGTTTAATCAAAAATAAAAAAACAACAAAAAATATTACCTTATGACTCACTTTCCTTGTTCTTGGATACAGATATAATCTGTCTCAAGGGTTCTTTCAAAGACTAAATGGAATTCTTGGCACCAAGAAATTTAAAAGAACATTTCAACAGTCAATAAATGCCAGTTTTATCTTTGTTCTATTGTTATAATAAGCAACATGTAAACACGAAGTTTGGAAGAGAAACAAACTGGCTGTTGGGTGGGCAGCAGGTTTACAAATGATACTATCTTTCTGCTCTGGGGCTTCACTGTTGGCACAGCTTCTTAACTTGGAAAAATCATAGACTTTTATATTCGACCTGATGTGGGTTTGCTCTAGGTGGAAGGGGCTTCATGGAGAATGGTGGTGATTACGCTTTGTAACTGACTTGAAAAATGCTCGCACATCCCCGGAGGACCAGACAATTCTGAGAAATCACTTTCTGAGGGATGCTGGGGCAGAGGGCCAGAATCCTTACAATGTCAGGAAGTCAACAGAGGCCTGTTCTATTGGCCTGGACACAGTGACTTGGAGCTTCCTGTCAGTCCTCCAGGGAATAGCCAGGCCTCTCGGTGTGTGACAAAGAGGACTCCTGCCTGCCCACAAAAGATAATTTTCCATTAAAAAGAATGAGATTCCTCTCCTTATATCTCTGTCCTCTAATCCTTTGCTTTCCCATTCTGATCCTTGACACCATTGCAAAAGGGGGCCTCATTCTCTGAGTGGTTGTTGTCTGAGCTATTGTGGATCAGCAGACACAGGTGGAGATCGATTTATGATCTGGGTCACCTCCATTCAAGCACCTCTCTCTCTAAATTAATGTTTATATATGCCCAATCCATTTTTGGCTCACAATCTCTCTCTGATCCACCTAACTTAAAGTGTACATCCCATGTAGAAGGATGGGGAACTGAAATATCAAAATCTTGCAGAGGATTCTGAATTCCACGAAGCTGATGGAAGTGGCATGGGAAACATCTTAAATAACATCTATAACCAGTGTCAGATGAGGAGACGCGGTATCAGGAACCAAAGAGCAAAGACAGCATCAAATAGAAACAAGTTTAGGCAGACACCTGGAAAGATTTTATGAAACCATTAATTAATTGTGTAAGTGTTGTAGTTATATAATTATAATGCCCTGGGTGTCGAATGTGAGGCAAAGATCAATGAGAACTAGGAAAATACCTTCACGGGTTCAGCAAGATGCTTTAGTGAGCTTAGTGAACTCCTGCACTGAACTTGAGGACCTTGGGTTTCATCCCAGAGGCTCTCAAGGTGGGAAGAGAGAATCAGCTCCTACAGGCTGTCTTCCGGCCTCCGTGTACACGCCATGCATGCACGTACCAGGTATCCATACACTCACATTACACACTCACACACAAGTAAATATCTAGCCCTGAGGAAAATGATATATAGTCCCTCTAATGGAAAAGCTGTCATTTCTCTTGTTTCTAAGAACTGGCTTGCTCTTCCCATTATGTCTAGAATAAAAGCTAAGACTTTTGTTCTACTTTCATCAGACGGTATTTATTCTGCCTGGAGGTGACTGAACTTCTATATAACTATGTGGGCCTCCCTGCTATGATAACAGGAGAACCATAGGCTACACTAGACCCTGCGAGAGTGCCATTCTTGAGCTGGGGTGTTCAACTGTGATTTCTGGAGGTAGAACTTCTTCCCTGACACCCTGCCAAGCCTGGACTCACCTAGCACTCTTCTCTACTCTACTTGTGTTGTTGACTCTGAATGCTTGTGTGTGGCTGCTTCTGCACAATAGGAACCGAGATTTGTGGGTCTTATTCATCGCTGTAACCCCAGGGCTAAGACTAACACTTGAGGGAATGGAATAGTCAAGCTGGAGGAAGGACAGAAATGAGCGCAAGGAAAGATATTTTGACTGAGGGAGCCATTATCAGACTAGCAAGAAACTTGACACTAAAGAAATTCCTAGGAATCCACAAGGATGACCCAAGCTAAGACCCTAAGCAGTTGTGGAGAAGGTGCTTGAACTGGCCTTGCCCTCTAGTCAGATTGATGACAATCTTAAATGTCACCATAGAACCTTCATTCAGCAACTAATGGAAACAGAGGCAGAGACCCACATCAGAGCACTGGGTTGAGCTCCCAAAGTCCAGTTGAAGAGTGGGAAGCATGAGAATATGAGCAAAGAGGTCAAGACCATGATGGGTTCACCCACTGAAACAGTTTACCTGAGCTAATGGGAGCTCACCAACTCCAGCCAGACAGGGAAAGAACCAGCACAGGACCAAACTAGACCTTCTGAATGTGGGTGTCAGCTGTATGGCTGGGGCAGACTAAGGAGCAGTGGCACCAGGACTTATCCATCCATACTGCATGTACTGGCTTTTTGGGAACCTATTCTCTTGGATGGATACCTTGCTCTGCCTAGATATAGTATAGGGACAGCCTTGGACCTTCCTCAAAGCAATGTGCCTTACCCTCTCTGAGGATGGTAGAAGGAATGGGAGGAGGGGAGGGAGTGGCAACTGTGATTGGTATGTAAAATTTTTTTTTTAAAAAAAAAAGATAGTTTGTTTTCTTTTTTTAGAAAACAAAGCAAAACAAAATACTCTCTACCAAGTTAGCTACCTAATAAGTATGTGTGGATTGCAATTAATGAGTTAGCTCCAGTTTTCAAGACAAGGCTTAATTTACCATTTTTTTCTTTCCTCTATTTAGCATGAAAATCTCTAGCTCTTACTTTAAATCCATTTTAAATAAGACTATTTTTTTCTCAAGACAAGTTATTTTTAGGCAATGAGGCCATCACATCCTCTACCAGACATTCCTCCCTCCTTTGCTCAGCAGGGACAACAAACAGACTTCACGCTGTTGTGATAAACGCTGTGGGTAGCACTGGCTATGCAAGCACGGTCCCAGTCCAACCAGGGGAGGCAGACCTTGGTTCCTCAGCGGTGTTTGCAATGGAGATAGTACTGGGGAGGGGGACAGTGAAGACGTCAATCTAGAACCTATGGAAGTAAAGACTGCTTCAAAGCAAAACAGATGTCACGTTCAGTTCTTGAGCTTGAACCAGTTTTCAGAGAGACAATACATCCTTGCTATTGATGTGGTTCTCAGGAACCTTTGACCTTTGTAGTTACCCGGTCTAACTCTTTCTCTTAACATCCAAACTTCCAAGACAATCTGTGACTGGTGTTTAAAATCTTTGGAACCCAAAGATTCAGGCTCCATAATATTCCTTTCGTGGATCTTCCAGTCCTTCAGAAAACATGACAAATGGAATCTCCTGCCCCTGTTACGTTACTTCCACCTGTGGAAGTATGATCGTGAAGGGTGACCTTCAGAACTAACCTGGTCCATCTTCTCACGTCCAGGCAAACACCACTGGTTCCTTCTTTAAATTCTCATATGACATGCTTCATCTCTCCCTAACCTTCTGCAGCACTGATTAAAACGCCGGTGCCGCCCCTTCCCTGCACATGTGCACTAGGTGTGGTCTATTCACAAGAGTAAGACAAAATTTCCAGCTCCTTCACCTTGATGTTGAACTCTTGCCTGTGGCCCTTGATCCCTGGGAGTTTTCCAGTTATGTCACACCTCCGGTTTCTCAACACAAGAGTTACGTGATACTCCAGAGATATGGAACATAGAACCAGTTTCACATAGATATCATGAAATCGTTAGACTTTGTACTTCATACTCCTAAATCCCACCTTTCACATCATGGTTGATACACGTTTTGGCAAAGATTCTATTATCCACCCCTTCTGGTTTCATAGACTCAGCATCCTGTGGATGTAACCCTTTCAAAGCATTGCAGTGTCTTCTAAATACAGGTGTGTTCAATTCATGTCGCCTGGCTCACATAGATTAGGGGAGGTCACTCAATAGTCACTTAACAAAATTTAGACTATTGGAAATTATTTTCATTACAGATTTGGGGTAGAAAGAAAAGAAATGAGAAAAAGATCTCTAACTTTTGAGTGACAGACAGCAAAGTAGGAAGTCCAGGATTCTGGAGCAGCAAGAAGATGTGAATGCTGGGAGGCAGAAGGGACATTTTTTTTTCTGCCCTTCATCACCATCTCCCCACAGAAAAGAGGCAGAGCTGAAGCCCCAGTTCACAGAGAGGAAAATGTAATGCACAAGAAGAACAAGCCCTTGGTTAACATAAATTGGGACAATGAAGACACCTAGGCTCAGGCAAGTACCATCTCCCTGCCCCTAGGAAAGGAGATGTGCGTTTTCTCCCACGCCTTCAAAGAGTAGTTTCTAAGTTCTTTCTCCTTCCATGGTTGCCTTAAACCACTCCCCTGCTTTGTTGTGTCTGTGGTTTGTTTGTGTTTGTCTTTCAAGACAGGGTTTCTCTGTGTAGTCCTGGCTGCCCTGGAACTCGCTCTGTAGACCAGGCTGGCCTCAAACTCAGAGATCCTACTGCCTCCTGCCTCTTGAGTGCTTGGATTTCTTTATGTGCACTCTCTGGGCATGGTCCAGGTGAAGCTTCTCATGCCTCAGCTGAAAATCTCCTTACATGAGTGCCTCTGTCTGATTTCAACACCATTAGCACTGTATCTCTTTAAAATTCTCAAGCAATGGATATTACTCTCTGCCGTTTCAATGGCCTAAAGCAACCACTTCATTGTGTTCATTCTTGAGGGTAAGGAGTTCCAGGAGGGCTCCACTGGGCTGCTTGTGGCTGACCCAAGTGTTGGCTTCTGGGGTATATGTGACTGGAGGGCCACCTTTCAAAATGACGTCCTTACTCTCCCAGCATGTCACTTCATTATTCAGGTGTCTCCATGTGGCTCACCGATTTTAGGGCAACCTGTCTTCTTTCATAGTTTCCAAAACACCAAGGCAGAGGTAGAAGTGGATTTTTCTTTGGGTTGCCAACTCACAGGAAAATGACACAGAGACTTATTATTAATTATGAAAGCTTGGCCTACAGCTTTGGCT